ACATTTCATATTTTTTGTGGAAAATAATATAATGTAGAGTATTTAGGCCTATTTTCAATGGACTTATTATACACTAGTTTTGAAATGGAGATAGTGATTGTATTGTTGGTGTGAATGAGTGATAGCACTCCTATTTCATATGTTTTTGATGTGAGATAACTGGTTACAACTCACATGTTACTGAATTATATAATATAAGGAATTGCTTGCAATATAAATAAAATGTCTAGCTACATGTTTAACGTTGGAAAGCAAAATAATGAGCAACATGCAAGCTATTGTAGCCCAAACAAGTTACGTTACTTGATTAGAAAAGAGACAAGTAAACTCCACTCATATTGTGACATGTGTAAAACTATATTTTTTTTTTATATATATATTTTTTTTTGCAAGCTACAAGGCCCTTGTAGCTCACCATTGGAGAACTCTGTAGCCAAAAAATGTTGTAGCTTAAAAATTGATGTGGCAAAGCAAGCTACAAGGCCCATTGGAGATGCTCTAATACAAAATGTTTTAGGTGTATATTTAACATTTAATTAGCCATTTTTTCCACTATGATACTTCCAAATTTCATGTGCACATTACAACTTTTACATAAAGTACACATTATACTGTTAAAATCAGCGTTTTAACGCTTTGAGTTACCCTTTATAATTTTTTAAAAATTTCATTTAGTGGGAAAAATGGCTAAATAAATATTAAATGTACACCTAAAATCAAACCTTTGGTTGTATTTTTATTTCTATTTCATCCGAATTCTGGTGTATGTATATCACAATTTCGATGAATGTACACATTTTTTGCTCCATATTAGTTAACATGTATTGACTTTTGACACTATTACTTTGACTAACATTTGTGATTCGTAGATATGAAAAAACACAGTCATGTGAAATCTTATTAGATTCGTTTTAATGTCTACTTAATTTAAATTTAATTTTTAGTATATTTTAATGTCTATTTAATGTAAGTATATTTTTATAATTATATAATTTAAGATAATTTTTACAATGACGAACGTGATAAAAAAAAAAAGTCAACTAATTTGAAAGAGAAAATAAATAGAACATCACCTAGGTTTTTTTTTTCTTTCTTTTTTTTTCATACTAAATAAAAAATAAAAGAAAAAGGAAAGGAAAAAGAAAGCAAGAAAAGATAATGTGAAATAATAATGGGAATATTCTCATCCAAGAACATGGGCCTTCCATTATACACTAACTTAATTAAGTCCATTATAAGTTCTCTGGCCCAATTTTGACAGCTTGCCTATGTCATTTCCATGCAATATTATCGACAACTATATATAGTTATCCAACAATATCCTCTCTTGTCCCTCTCTCGTACAAATTTCATTAATTTCTTTGCCCCCTTCCAAATAGGTAAAAAATTAATTTGTATATTTATTTTTTAGAAAACCCAAAAAACTAATTATAATTTTTTTTTTTTTTTATATATATATAAGAATATTTTGAAAGTTTTTTGGTGTATTAGTAAATTAAAGCCAGGACCAAAAACCAGGTACTGTACAAAAATTTTTACTTTAAAAGTTTCATTATTTAGTGACCATGTTTGTCTAAAAAATGGACCATTTTTCATTAATTATATTAAACACAGTCCTTTTTAGATTATAGTACATAGTTGTCAATTTCATACTTAGCTAGGCACTTTATCAAAATTAGGTCCTTTTTATAGATATCTGGTTTGTTGCTAACCCAACTTATGGATTTTGGGCTCACATACATTAATTGAATTGAATGCAATAGAGAGGTCTTTGATGGTCCCTTTCTTGGGTTAGAATAGAGCTAATTAAACATGGATTCTAGTCAAGTTTGCTTTTAACAATCAAACTTAGTACACTGTTTAATTGTCTTGATAATGAACATGTTGTTAGTACACTGTTTAAAGTTGGCTATATAGGGGGAATGTCTATATTCCATGTGAAGATAACAGCACATGGTCCACCCTAGTGGTGAATTACGAGTTGACTCGTAGTCAATGATTAGTCAATTTCCTTTTTTTCGGTGGCAAACTAGACTAGTAACTTGGTGATACTTTAGAGGCTTATGATAATAAATACCTTTATTTATTACATCAGGATTTTGTAGTGGTTGGCATAACAAATATTATATGTACTTGTATATACTAATTTTCAAATTAACCGTTTTTTCTCAACCCTTACATACAATTTATTACTCAGTAACTTTTTCGTTAAGTTAAATAGTATTTTAGTAAAAACAATGTGGACTAAAGAAAGTCCTTAATTAAATGGGCTGAAGACAAGCCCGGTCCAGAAGTCTTTCAGTCTTTGGGCCAAAGATTCCTACACAACAAAACACATTAATTGACCTTGGAGTTTGTCCGAGAAACGACCCTTCAATGCCTAAGTCAGTCCTTTTAATACAAAGTAAGAGTATTAAATGATATGCAAGAGAGTAAATACTTGAGGCTAATATTGGATACTTGAATAGGGTGTAAATTGGACCTTTTAAGGAGGCTTGGCATGCCCTTTGAACTGATTCTTGCACTAACTTAAGCCTATTGGGCTTGGTGACCCAATAGAGAAATGAGGTCCAAAATGGATGGGCATTTTGACATCCAAACATAGTGAAGGGAAACTTACCAGAACAACTACTCTTAGTAAGTAATTTGGTTCATTTACTCTACTTTTTGACTTTATTAATATGGTTGGTTCATACAATTAATGACAAATCAATAGTGGTAATTGGGCTCAAAAATTCAATTAAAAGACTTTGTTAAGCAAAAAAAAAAATTAAATGCATATTGCAAAAGAGTAGGCCCAGTCCTATGGACCAGGCCTTTGTTTTGCAACCCAAGAGTATAGACGAGGAGTTCACTTCCCTTTATATTTTTTTTTTGTAATTCCTCTTCATCCTTAAATACTTTGTAGATCATATTTGATAACTTGATGTTCCACCCGGTTCACCCTTTGGGTTAATCTAGATTCGAGGATCAGTTTTGGGTGGTAAGGTTTCAGTCCCCTGCCAATTGTTGTTGCGGGGGATCGAATACGCGGTCCTCCCTACCAAGTGTAGCCCCAATCACCACTACACCAACAACCAATTTGATAACTTGATAAGAATAGTTAGTCAATGGGACGGGCGAGGATGGTTTTGGAGTTGTACTCGTCGGGGCAGGGATGAAGATGAATTTTGGACTTGCCGCGAGGGTGAGGATGGGGATAATAATTTTAGGTACGGATGGGGATGGGAAGGCCAACATCCACCCCGCCCCGCCCCCTTAACATCCTGATAAGATATCATTTCCCAATATTAAACATACAATGTACGAAGTATTTTTTTTATTAACTAATACTCTAAATCAAATCTTTAAGATATCAACGTACGTAGACTTTCTCTCTTTGGAATTGTTTGTAGACAATACAAAATTTAATCTCTTTAAGTGCTGTGACCTAATTCCTTCAAAAAAAAAAAAAAAAAAAAAGAAGGGTTGTGACTTAATTTTGGAAAAAGACCCCATGTATTCACATTTTGATTTATTTTTTTTTCAAAATTGGCCTGAAAGTGTCGATATCTTCAGTTTAGATCATTTTTGAATTTATTGAAGCCAAAAAAGTAATAGGTTAGTGTGCTTCCCATGGACCTCATGGCCCCCGGAAGGCCACTTAGATAGGTGGTGGAATCGTCAACTTTTTCTTTAAAATGTTAATTTAGCCAATCATGTATACTCCTCCATTTCTTGACCTAAGGCCACCATGGGCCTTTTTGTGACTGACTAGAGGTCACACATGATTCCAAACAACATTATAAGCTATGAGATGCATCCCTGCATCCCAAAAGTTTTCAATACCAAGTCACAAAACCTCAAAAATAAGTCTAAAAATGTGGATTATAGCCTTCAGTTTGGAATTTTTTTACTTTTTTCGGATTTGGAAAGTAAATAGGGTCAAAACGTTTTCATGGATCATATAAAAAGCTCGGGACACCATTCAAGTAGTTGGAATTGTAAATGTGCCTTTAAACTGTCAAATTAGTTGATTACATGTACTCCTTTCGTTGACTTAAGGACACACCATGAGCCTTTATGTGAGCGACTATTGATCAATCACATCGAATTTCTTCAACCAAGTCTATTGATGCTAATATACACACCTTCAAACCCTTTTTCTTTTGGGTGATTTGTGGGTATCCAAGTGTGCCCCTCAAACATATTGTCCCTCCACTTACCCTAGAATCCCATAATATTACAACAACTGATTTTTTTAAAAGGACTCAAAATTACATAATGGTGATTTCCACTTGCATTTCATGAAACTTCCCTTTTGGGCTTTGCTCTATTAAGGGCAGAGAAAACTCCACCTAAATCTAAGCTTTGTCTACTTATGGCATTTTGTATCTTAATTGGTGGCAAACATTGTTGGTCCACCTTTGCTAGTTTTTCTACTAACAACCCAAGTTTATACAGGTATATTCCTTTTCTTTTAATAACATGTGTATGATTTTATTCATTTCACAAACATTGAAGTTTTCCAGTTGGCCTAAGATGAGATTCATAAACTTACAGTAAGTAGACAACTTATATAGCTGTAACAATCCACTAATGTTGGATCATCATGTCAACCACTAATGAATTATCTCTTCATTTCTCATATTCTACACTAGGTTAGTAATAATCCAAGGGGTGGTAGGTGGGGGCCATTTTTCTAACTCTTAAATTTTCGCGCATTTATGGAATGTGAATGAGCACTTGTCTTACGTGTAAAAAAATAAACAGAATTTACTTGATTGCCTAGCTGAGCCACCTAAAATGGAGCAAAAATTCTAATCATCTATGCCTGTAGTCACAAAATAAATAAATTTAATAGCCGATTCCATAACTTCATTTGCCTTTTATGCACTTAACTAACACAGGGACCTACAACAAAGTTGTTTCAAGTCCATAATGCAATTGCAGATTGTACGGCTAACACATCATTCACTGTATAATATCACCATTTAAGTCCATTTTCTAATCATGGTCTTCATAATGCACAACTGAGCAAGTGTTCGTGGAGATTTCATGTTTGGATCAAATTGAGGGCCTTTAGCATCATATAGCATGCGGGGCTCATACGTGTCGCGGCCGTGGTGGTAGCATGGGATCATATTAGGAGCACCTTTCAGTAGTATGCCTCTTATTGATTTTACCTGAAACAAACAATGAAACATAAACATTTTGATTTTTTTTTTTAGGTAAGATAAAGTTCTGATTTCTCTGAAAATGGTAGGGGTTTTAGTCATTTTACATAGTTTATAGCAAGGTTGCTTTGTAGCTGGATCTTCATCAGGAGTTGGTGGTTCCTCACCAAATATCATATCACAACTCATATCTTCAAAATCTGTAAAAACATACAGTTATAAGAAAAATTACATATCAAATATAAAATTTTACCAATTCCTAGAGTTTTTAAGTGCTCCTGAAGTCATTTTTAGGGTAAAAAAGCCGGTATTATATTGTAGTTGGACTAACTGTTAGTTGATTTCTGCTGATTATAACAGATGGTATATCTACTGGTTGCGATACATGAAAATGCCTAAGCTGTCGACTCCTGACAAAATTCAGGAAACAGATTCATAACCATCTAGGATGATATCTTGCAGCTAAAAAAATAAAGTGCTGTTTTTATAATTAAGGAAAGAACAAAATGTGATTTGATGGCATGTAAATTATAGTGTTTCCATGCACCCTTAATGGTGTTATTATGGGACCCTTAGTGTTATTAGTGCAGATTTACTGTTAATTTTTCGACTAATTGGTAACAGTTAGTCTGTTAGACATACTAGGGACCATGGTGATTGGCATTCCTAGAGAATCCTTGATGAATGTTTGAGTTGGAAACTTGCAGAGGTTTGTGCACATTCCTACACAGTTTGAGCTCTCTAAAAACCTGATTAAAAAAACAAAGTTAGAGTTATAGATAATAGAGAAACATAATGGATTAAGCTAGCTAGTTCTTTTCAATATATATGATCGATTTATCTAATCACGGTAGTTTGCACCAAGATCATATTGTTAGTACATTACCTGCATTTCTTTACGTGCACCACGTTCTTCTCTGATGTTCCGTTGAACTCTGATTCTTTCAACTTCATCATAAGTCCATTATTAGACTTGTAACACTCGGTTTACACAATTCAAAATACTTAAACAAGTGCTTAACAAATTTTCATGTTAAGCATGTTTATAACTACACTATCAATATAACTTGAAATTTTACCTCAGATGGTCCAACTAGCCAAGCAAAAAACAAGCCAGTGAATTTGGCTAGGAGTTCTCTTGTAAACTTACAATGTGGTACCAATGCCTTCAACTGTCCATGAAAAGTTCAGAAAACGATTACTGATTAGTCATTGATTCTGCATACAAAGTAAAACAGGACAACTCGATTTAAGAAAGTACGACAGAATATCACATTAAGTAGTATCCTATCAGATTGCCAGTAACTGCATCATCCTTCTGTTTTTATTTTACTTCTTCAGTTCAGAAGATTAGTTGGTTGTCTAAGATACTCGTTAACTAGTAGGACTACGGCCTCATTCTCTTCAACTTATTAAAATAAATTTATGTCAAATTTGTTTTGACTAGTACTCTATTTCTAATGCCAAACAATATGTAAGATTCGATATACTAAAGAACAGGTTAAGAGTACTTGCCAAAGGAAAAATTTCCTTAGGAATGGATCTAGCAAGACCTTCCAAGCTGAGTTGTCGTTGTTGCACTGAGTCAAACTTCACAGTCACTTCTTTGCAGGTTTCCAACAAACCATCATAACCTTTCTCTTCTATCTGAATGCCTGCATAAAAATATATCAGTCAGTTTTGCTAACTAGTATATAGGACATATAAAATAGAGATCGAATTATATGTTTGTTTGCTACTCCGTATATTACAAACCTGCTACAGCTTGTAAGTTTTGAGAGAGATGGTTAATGGCCATAAGATCAAGCCAAGTATCGTGGTAGCAAGTTATCTTTGGCACGTTTGTTACCTCGAGTACCTTGTGAGCTGATGGTTTTAGTGACATAAAAGGAGTAAAGGACATGATCTTGTTATGGTGCATGTATTTTCTGTGAGGGCAAAGGAAGGTTAAATGAGAAATTCTGCTGTTTATCGCGCTTGTATCCATGGATGTTTGTTTGATAATTGCAATAAAAAGTTGAGAAGAACTTCCCTTAAAATTCATGCTTCTATTAGACTAATATATAGAGGTATTAGAGAACAACCAATGCTTCTTGTGTGCTGTTTTCCTGTATTTTGCTCACACGTCTATATTTCAAGTGTTGGCTACAGGATAGCAAACCATCTAACAAAGGGCAAAATGTCCTTATTACCCATGAGCGAAATATATAGTTAAATTTCGGTTAAAGAAAGAAAATGCAAGGACACTATGGACATTTCGCTCTTTAGTTGCCTCACTATTAGACAACTAGGCAATGCTCCAATCATCATTTGCATTCACCTTACTGTTGCAATAGTGAAATTTTTGTTTATAGAGTTCCAAATCTATCAAATTCATCTTTAAACTTACAAATTAAGATTTACAGCATCAATTTTATCTTTTCTACGAAGGTATATGCAGAAATTTAACATTGCTCCAAATTCTAATTTAAATTAACTGATACGAGTATAAGTTTAGTTAACGAACTTCAAATTGAATATTTTGGCTAAGCAATGTTGCGAGTAGATTAGTACCATACTACCATGTGATGAAGATATTGATAATGCCATCAAAAGAACTGGATGTGCAAAATGCACATGTATAAATTCTCGACTAAAAGCTCAATATGCAATAGAAATTCACTGATTCAATCAAGCAAGAAACTTAATTGAGTCATCAAACAAACACATGTTACAAGACAAATCCAGTTAGAACTGCACAGAGACCAGAATGAACTAAATTGACAAGCACCTAAATAGCTAATAAAATATCACACTTAGAAATCCTAGAGGTTCGGCAGAAAGATATTACAGCTGAAATTGCTAGAATGGAACAATCCCACATATACTTGATTCTTCATCCTAAATTATCAGATAAAGAATCCTTAATCCTTGGCTGATTTGTTAATCAATGACTTGTGAATGTGAGGGATAACACCACCACCAGCAATGGTTCCCTTGATGAGGGTGTCGAGCTCCTCATCCCCTCGAATAGCAAGCTGCAGATGCCTAGGAGTGATCCTCTTCACTTTTAGATCTTTGCTTGCATTTCCTGCTAGCTCGAGCACTTCTGCAGTCAGGTACTCAAGGATCGCTGCAGAGTAGACAGCAGCAGTTGCACCTACACGGCCATTGGCCGAGGCTCTTGACTTAAGGTGACGGTGAATTCGACCAACTGGAAACTGAAGAACCCCACACAGACAATCCACACAAAGTTAATAATTTGAAAAAAAAAAAAAAAAAAAAAAAAAAAAAAGAAATTAAACATCAAATGAAGTCAAGGGGAATATATCACACGTCAACAATGAGCTCATTATAAGCAGAATAGTTGTTTAGAAAATCTAGCAGAAACGTTACATGTTCAAGGGAATAATAACAATATTCAATAACTCAAGTTTTCATGGCAATTGTAATATAAGCAGTGCCACAAATAGGACAACAGAACAGGCAAAGGCAGTAGCTAGACTTGCAGAATAATCACTGATAATCAGAATATTTCTAATAGACATGTAAGTAATCCACATTAATACAGGGGAATTCTTACACGCTTAGATTGTTGCACAGGGGAAAACCATTGGAGAGAAGTGACACTACTTAACTAAGACCAAGTACACATACCAAATCACTAATAAACAAATGGTTGATTCTTCAATCTGTCTATTAGACTGTTTAGAATACTGACACAATGCAATGGAAGAAACACAACTGACCAATTCATCAATTAGTGATGAGTTGAAAACTTGTGTGCTTCTCATAACATACATGTAGATTTCTTTCCAAACAGCAAAAAATTCTTTGATTTATGACCAAAAAAAACTAGTGAAAAGTTTGCCCAAAAACATTATATCTCCACAAATTCTCCAAAAATGTAATTCTATATATATTGATTAATGGAAGGAATTACAACTCATAGAGGTATATTATTCGAACTATACCTTAAGTAAAGAAACTACTCCTTCACAGCTTCACCCATAAACAGTTAAAAACCAGTGCTGTTGATTTTACTTCTTTAAGAAAATTGACTATGAACAGATGACTGACTAAACATGCTAGTTGTAGTTGCTTGCTGAAACAGATTTTGACAGACTTTTACCTAAAGCTTGTGCCAACAAAAAATGTGTAGACCTAAATAGAAATACAAACTAGAAAAGTCAAATTCAAATCAATGCCATTAATACCATGCAAGAGTTTGCACATAGCTAATGAGTGAATACAATCCACATATGTATATGACATGCCATTTTCAAAAAACATAATGGACTAACAGATTTCTATAACACTTGTATACCTTGTAGATACATCATCATTAAATCCTCACAAAAAAATTGGCATTAATTAACTCACATGGTACCAAGAGCCATGAATTAAACATCTCTTATAGTTTATACTACTTAAGCCCACTATAAAGAAGTGAGCTAAACAAAGAACAAAAACTCTATCAAGGTTAATTCCACCCATCTTTCATGATCAACACCTTTTCTCCTTATGCCAAATCTCTAATTATATAGCTTCCTTAATGCACATGTAACTAGTTACTAATGAGAAAAAATGCAATTCTTCTATTGTTGTTTTGAGATGTTACTTAAACAATTCAATGAAGCCACACAATAATGGAACTTATCAATAAGTGATGGTAAGTGAACAGTTGTGTAGCTCACTAGATCTTATAGAATTCACTAAATAGTTGTCTTTTGGCTGAAAAAACTACACAAGCGAAGAAATAAATTAGCAATGTTTGGGTAAACAATACTTAATGACTTGGCCCAAGGATCCCCTTTCATTCAACATTAAGTTTCATTATTGGACACTACCAAAGAAAATTACCCCCAAACTTCAATTTTTAAAGCATATAGTTTCAAATCATAAAGATATGTTATTCAACAATGTAACTTGAGTAAAGCAAGAGTAACTTCTCCATCCTAAGCTCAAGACCTCAACACATGCTTCCTAAAGCCTTAAGAGTATTTGAATGCATCATATAATACATTAGGTGCTGTTGATTTCACTTCATTTAGATACATGCCTTTGAGATAATGGAAAAGAATAAATGCTTGCAAATCATGAGAGCTTATGCTAAGATACATCTTGGTTACAACTTAAAAAGGATTTTAGCAGTACTTATGCTTACAAATAATAAGATCATCTACTTAATTTTCAATACAAACTAAACAAGTCAAAATCAAATTAATGACACTTATACCATGTTAGAGCTTGTGCATAGCCAATAAGCAAAGATAACTACCATTAGTATATGAAACACCATAATATGGCCCAAGATATATCATTTTGTTATGGACAATAAGTTCACAACGATTGTATACCTTGAAGAATTTAAATACTAAAAATCCTCACAAATTAGAATTTATCTAACACAAATCCTAACAGGATATCAGAGCCATTATTGAAATTTTAATCTTTATTGAATGACACAGCTTCAAAAGTAAGTTTAACTACAAAGTTGATAATTATTGTCAATTGTTTATGATTAATTTTTAGATCACAATTTAGCATAAAACAATATAGGACAAGGATAAATGTACAAGAAGCAATCTATCACCCTTCAAGAACCATTTCAAAAAACAAAAAAAAAAAAAAAAAAAAGAAAAAACAAATGAATCAATTAGCTTGTATTGAGAGGTATAATAAACTACTAGCAGATCACCATCAATGGCTTTAAATATAAACCATTACAACCACACTAAAAAAAGAAAGGTATAACTTTTATTCCAAGATCACCAATTTATGAGAGCTTGATACATTTTATCATACTAGTTGGGTAGTTGCTAGGTACAACAAATCATGACTCAACAAATGCAAACATAAATGATAAAAAACAAATGCTTATATGTACTTTACTAATCAAATACTCTCAACTACTAAACACATCCATGATTAAGCACAAGTATATGTTCAACTATCATGCTTTTATCCAAAGATAATTTTTTACACTTATATTTTAGCTAGTAATAATACTTTGTAACACAAAACAAGATATGATACATAAAAAAGATCCACAATTAAAGACAGAGAAAGAACAGGAAAGACTACCTGAAGACCAGCTCTAGAAGAGCGAGAAACAGGTCTCTTCTTCTCCTTCTCTTTGTTACCCGCTGTTGTTTTACCAGCCAATAGCCCTTTTCCTCCCTTTCCCGCCATTTTTCGTCCTTAAATTTCAAGATCTTCAAACCCCAATAAACACTGAGATTTACACAAAAACGACAGAAATCATCAAGATTAAATTTTTATCATCACATGAAAAATACTTCGAACAAATTGAGTTTGAAATCTAAAATTCAAGATAAAACCCTCACAAATTTTACAAGATTAACAACCCAGAAACTAAAAATAACCCCCAAAATTAGAGATCTGGGTCAAACCCAGGAAAGAAAAACCCCAATTTGAGGGTTTTAAAGAACCAAACCCAGAAAGAATAATACCCCAGACTTCTGAACAAGCAAGCAAAAAAAACCCAGATTTCAAAGATTAATAACAGATAATTATCGAGAGAAAATATGGTGAAATACCGAAGAAAGCAGAAAAGCATACCTGCGAGAGAATTAACAAAGGAAGAAACTTTGGTAAGAAAGCGTAGAGAAGGAATTAAATAGAGGAGAGAGAAAGTGGGTTTTGAAATTAATGGCGGTGAACTTACGTTTTGATTTTAACAAGGCGTTGAAGAGCGCCAATTCCCTGAAATTTTCATGGAATTTCTGGGTTTTCAAAGTTTCGAAATTTTGCCGCTTTTTCTTTTTATTGAAAAATGAAAATTATTCCAAGATTTTTGGACTTGTTTTACCAAATTTATTAATGTGGGCTTTTACCGTATTGACATGAAAGACTTTGGGCTTTGGCAAGCCCAACTCATTCGTATTAGCAATTTACTAATCAAAGTCCATACATTTGTCAAGAATGTATTTGATGCAAATTTGTCAAGAATGTATAAACATGTTACTCGTACATTAATGATCATATTTGGAACAGCTACGACGTCAACTCAACATCGGTCCGGTCCGACCCGGCCTGAAAATAGGGCAGGTTTGGACAAGCCTAATGACGCATTTTAAGT